GAAATTAAAAAGAAAAAACCTGTTTGGCGAGAAGTTCTCTCTCGAGGTTTCCGCTGGCAAAGAAAGAAGAATCGGGACCGAAACGTCGGCGAACGGAGGTCCAGTAGGGAAACGACAGGTCGGTTTCGGAGTCCAGAGCCATAGCCATGGCCTGGTGTGGTGTGGTGTTGCTGGTACAAGCGAAGAAACGCTGATCAGGTTTTGCCACGGTATGATCTTCTGCTGGAGTAGAGGAAGCAAAGACACTTTATAAAAATTTTGGGTTAGGCCCAATGGGATCCATCCAGTGATGACAGGCCGCAGAGCGCAAACCCACACCTCGGACCCTTGGGTTTGACAGTGGCGGCGGAGCCAGGAAATTTTTTTAAAAGGGGCCAAACGAAATTTTCATAAAAAAAAAAAAAGAAAGAGCGCTTTTATTAATTAAAAAGCTAATGAAAATAAAAACAGTAATGAAATAAATAATTAAGTAGTAATTTCATTTTTGTAAAAATCAAAGATCTTGAGTTTCAGTTATATGATATGTGAGTGAGGTAAAATTATACATTGTGAGAGTTATTTCATATCGTGCAATGTAATATAAAAAAAAGCTAATAAAAAAAATTTTATTAAAAAATTATTTTAAACTAAAATTTGTTAGTCTTTAATGATAAACTAGTTTTGGTTGATGGTATAATACTATATATGACATCAATTGAAAGTAAAACAAATATATATTGAATAGAAAAACACTAATTAATAAACAAAAAATAAAAATAAAAGGGTATTAATGAAAAAAATAATAATATTAATGAACAACTATTTTATAAAAGGAAGATATTAAACAATTTTGTATTCAATTAATTTTTACTTTTTATCATATTTTATTTTAAATTTATTTTTCTTGTTTTTCTCATAAACATTAAAACTAATATTTGAAAAAATAATAGTTAGAAAATGACTAAAATGTATGAAATAAATAAGGATTGAGAAAAATAAAAATATAATTTAACAGACTAAAGTTTTTATTTCTTAAAAGTTTAAAGAGGCCTGTACCCCCTTCATGCCCGCTTTATCTCCCCCGATGCCCATTGATACTGAGCACTCTCTATTCAATAGTCTTTATTTTATAGTTGAGGTAATTTGAGCTGTAAAATAAGGTTTATATATATATATATATATATATGAAGCTAGCATGTCATTCTCCTAAAGCTTTTTGGGAGGACTTATTTAAAACTTTGCTTTTTAATTAATATTTTCAAAAATTACTTGTTGGATTGTAAATTTTATTCATATAAATCATATGTTAATTTTCATATTGATTTAAAACTTATAACTTTTTAATCAAAGAAATTCTATTTAATGACACATATTTAAAAGTATTAAATTTCTTATAATCAATAAAGTGGTTAGGTTAGGTTTATTAGAATAATTTGAAAATTGTTATGCATAATCTATATAAATAAAATTTTTAATTTAACAATTAGTTTTTAAAAATATTAATTA